TGCTGATTTCTGCTCCTCCCTTCAAGATCCACGCATGTCTCTGTCTTTTTTTTTTTAATAATGTTTGCTTCTGTTTCTCTTTTGACCAACGCTTGCTGACTCCCTGGATCTGACTGTTGCTAGTATAATAGCCCACTGGACCCAGACCCACTCATCTCTGCCAAGTAGTTCTGTGTCCTCAGCACCTCTGTTGTGTCAGGCTGCAAGCCTGGCTTGGTGTTCTTCTATCTGCTTCTTTCCCCTGTCATTATTCCTCTGCTGAGCTGCAACAGGGTATTCCTCAAAAGGAGCAAAGTCCCAGGGGGTAATTTACACAGGGCTCCTCCCACCTAGTTCCTGAGAGGACGTATTGGAATGGTCCAGCATTTCCAGGTGGGGATCCCCTCATGTCTACCCTGCTGTTGTCCATCAATCTCTTGCTTGTCCCTGCTTCTGACCCTGCCTTCCTACTGTTTTCTGAGCACCCAGGAGGAGCGATTCTGTGCTCAAGTTCCTGTTTAGCACTGGGTCAGTTGAGTTCTGCTGTGACACACTATGGCCCCTTGCCTCAGCATTGCCTGCCAGCTATGACAGATCTGATAAAATGCTCCTTCAGTTTCCTTGTCTCTTTCACATTATCTCCACTGAAAACTGGAGCAGTCATCTACTGCGACCATGTAGTTTCTGTCAGTAAAAGTCAACAAGTCTGTTCTGATCTTCTTGCAGGGCTGGGTTTGGATGACATGAGGCTATACAGCTTCCTAGTCACTACTCTCAGCAACCCTCACACTGGTCCATGTATGCTCAACATTGAGCATTTGTGCCTAGCCAATTGGCACATTCTTTGGATAGTCTCAAGCATGTAGTGACTGCCAGGATGACTGTGCATCTGTCTCATGATGCCAGCTCTTAAACCACAAACCCCTTTTTCCTCAGCTCAGTCAGCTGGTAGGTTCTCTGATGTTAGTAATGGGCACTAACACTTCTTTCTTTTAATGATCTATTCAATGGCTTTCAGATTAACACAAGTCTATCCAGTGCTTTCCTTTGCAAGGTAGAAGAGCCCCCTGCTATGTGATACCTCCACTTTATGCAAAGACGTGGACAGTGATCAACTCTCCTCCTAATGCTCTCTTGGATATACATAAGGGTCCTGGGCACTGCTTTAAAAAAATGCTAATGTGTAATAAGGAGGTGCAGTGGACCCGATTCAGTCTTTTGTAGACAAAGATCCATATCACAAACCCTTTATTTCTTTTGCAGTGTACTAGGTCCTAAATCTGCTATTTTGCCAGAGAGATCCCTTGTCTAGGTGGCCCCTGCTGGAATGAATAAGATGGATTTAGAGGAGCTTGTACTGTGCTGACCAGCATGTAAACTTCATCTGAATAACCCAGCAGTCTGTAGCTTGTGAGCTGCAAGGGCTATCAGGGGGAAAGTCACCTAAAGACAATGACTTGTGGGCAAGAACATGATTGAGAGGTTGCTGGCATGTCACTGCAAGATCTGGGCACAAGGTTGTTTTCATGTTTTGCAGAAAAATCTGTGCTTTTGAATTTATTTTTTAATGGAAAAACAAAGAAATGAATCAAATTTCCTGTGAAACTAAATCCTGAAAAAAGCTTTATTTTGATAAAACTGGAGTATTTCCTTCTGATTGCAGTATTTTAAAAACTCAAGTATATTTTTGTCCAAACAATTCCTTTTTTATAAGGTCTTTTTTTGGAAACAAGCAAAACCAGAGGACGATTTGCCCTTTTCAAAGACACAAAAAATAGCATTTTGATACTCGGGTTACTTTTTCCAAACATTTTTCTTTTGTTTTTGTTTTTTTAAATACTTTTCACTGAAAAAAAACACTTCAGTGAAAGTTTTTAAATACTTTTCACTGAAAAAAAACACTACAGTTAAACATTTCAAACTAGGTCCAGCCACCTCAGTTTTGAACCTCCGTATTTTAACAGAGGGAATAGTCTCATCTTTATTCCAGAAATGATACTCTGGCTCTTCTGGCTTGATCTCAGCCTAGTGAAACAAATGAACCACCTTGGGCTACTTTTAGAGAAAATAAAACAAAAGCCAGAACTGCTCAGCTTTACATTCTCAAAAGTCTGCTGCTGTCCTGTGTCTGCTCCGGAGCCTGGAATTACCCTGTGGGATGTGATTGGCCCAGCGGCTGGCTGGGGTCCAGAGCAGAGCCTCTATATATGCTGGGGGAAAACAGCATCACAGACAAAGCTGGAGTTGCTTGGTTCTGCTTCCTCTCACAGTCTGCTCAAAGCTGAGGAAATAACAACTCGCCAAAATGTGCAAAGGATTAGCAGCCTTACCACACACATGTCTGGAGAGGTGAGAACAAAGGGGGGTTGGTTGCAAACAGCAATGATGGTTGGTTTAGGAGCAAGATGGTTTAAGAAACTGAAGCAGGGTTGGGACATGAGGGCACAACAAGATTCATCATAGCCCAGTGATCAGAGGACTGTTGTTTGAGGGCAGTGCTGGGAGCCTGCATGATGCTCTGTTGCAGATGGGAAAGGCAGGTTTCTCTTCAGACTGCAGCTGTAGGCTGCATTTCCTGGGATGTGGGCTATGAATGAAAATGCTCTGGCCCCCTGCCTGGTGCTTGTATCTTTGTGGCAGTGGATTTATCAGTGTACTAGTGATTATAAGAGGACAGGTCAGAAGTGCAGGCTGTAGCAGTGGGCAGCAGTCCTTGGCATTGTAACATGGGTATTGGCAGAAAGGCTGAGAAGGGGAAGGGATTGTTCTGCTATAACTCTAACTGTATTTTGCCCATGTGTTGATGGATAAGGTACCATCACCAGCTGTTTTCACTCTCTTTGAAAACACTGCAGTGGGAGATGGCTGAGAGATCTGTGCCATCTGAAACTGAGGGGCTGGATCCTGACTCGGCCCAGCACTAAGTGAAGGAAAGTTTAGGACCCTGAGGGAAGCCTTGGAGGCTGGTAGCCACAGGAGCATCCCTTCAAGCCACAATTCTTCCCCTGCTTCCTCCTGCTTCAGCAAATTGCTCTTGGTCCAGACCACTGGTGCATTTTTCATGCAAGTCCCCCATGGTGCCCAGGTAGTGGACTTCCCTCAGTGAGCAAATGGCTGGACCCAGAATCAGGCCCCTTTCCTCCCCCTCAGCACTCACTTAAGTTGTTGGTACAAAGTACCTGGTCGCTTCTGCAAAAATCCAAGCACATGGGGAGGGGTATAGGTGGGCAAAGGAAGCACTTACTCCCCCTTTCCTAGGATCTATGCTTTCAGTGGAGATCATGTGAAAACAACCCACTGGTAACAAGACAGCAGGAGATCCCAAAACAAACCAAGCAATTCTTTTGTCAAAGTGCCTCCCTACCACTATGTCTATAGGACAGTGGTAGGGAGCACCACCATGAAAACATGCCCTACACACACACTTCCCATTCTTGTAAAAAAAAATAAATAAATAAATAAAAAAATTCATGTAGCTACTTTCTGGTTCATGCCCAGTGCTGTGCTCAGTTTCAGGTGTGGCCAAGAGGCAGGTAACTATGTGGTGTATCTGCAGCTGGTGTTGGGCAGGGTGTCAGACATGTTCCTGGCCCACCATCCATATCTTTCCAAGCTTATTTCCCTGGCATGGACCTGGAGCTGGGTTAGTTTAGCTCCTCTGAGGATTTGGGCCCCCGAGGAAATATTGCTGTGCTTGGATATGGCTAATCTAACAAAGCTTTTTAATGCTTGCATATTTCTGATCTCTCATTTCAACCTATTGCAGTGCACCACTTGCTTTGAGAAGTGCTTGTGGTGGAATTTTTCAGATTGCTCCCTGAAGCTAGAGAGCAAACACTTTTACAGAGAAGCGCTGTGATGGACTTGTTGGTCCTTAGCTGAATGATGGCTAACTTGAATGTGGCAAGTGAGATTTTTTTAAAACAATGATTTATGGGCAGATGTCCCATTTCCTTTCAAAAGCACTCGTGCTCCTAAGTCTTTTTGCCTTTAAAAAAAAAAAATTCCCCCCTTCCGCAACCATTTCTTTCCAGACCCCTGAGCAGAGTTGATGAAAGAAGTCAGCTTTCTCCATTTCCTCCTTGCATTTTTGTGGCTAATTAGCCAGTTTTGCTATGCTAATAAGCACTCCACATTACAGGTGGTTAGGAAAATAATTTTGTTGGAGAATGTCAATAGCAAGAAACAGAAGCTCCTTATGGGAATAGAAGTACTGCTTCAACCAGAAAGGTTTCTTCTGTGTCAAAAAACAAAGAGAGAGATGCTTGCATCTGTGGAACAGCCAGTCACCCAGAGGTCAGGCTGAAGACCAAGACTGAAGTTTCTACGCTGGCTGATTCAGAGCATGGACTTCCATGCTCTTGCACCTTGATTTGTCCAGGTTCTCATATCCTGGTCAAGAGTCCACGCTACCAAGTTACTGGCTCTTCTAGTCATTCTCTCTCTGCTTTTTTTAATTTGAAAAGTTCTTTGATTTTTGTCCTGGTGCAAACCAGGAAAACTTTGCAGGATGGGAGAGCCTTTCCTTGTTCAGCTTGAATATATTGTATTAATTTCAGTGAGCTAATGGGCTTGGAGAATGAACAGCATTAACATGATCCTGTCACTAAAGAGATACCAAAGCTTAAGAAATAAATACAGAGGCCTTGGCTGACTTGGTCCCACAGCAAACAAATGCCACTAACGTTCTTCTTAACCTTCTATTAAAGAGGCATTAAAAAAAAAAAAGAAAAATAGTTTGAAACTTTAACATTTATGAAGTTTTAAGTAAGACTTTGAGTTTAACCATAGCTCAAATTCCTTCTTCTGGTTTATGGCAGAGTCATTTTATAAGGAAAACAGTGTCTGACAGCCTTTGAAATGCATTTTAATAAGCTTTTTTGGGGAAAAGAGAGAAATTCTAACTGAGATGGACTGGAGCCACTGCTGCTGGAGCCTGAGCTGATGTCTTTGAAGACAAAACATGGCGTATGGGTAAAAAGAGGGGGAGAGCAAGGTAGCTAAGACAGAAAAGAAGCTTCTGTTTCTAATGGTGACTCTTACCAGCAGCTCCTCTACTGGAGAAAGAGGCCTACTACATAGATGAGCTGCTCCAAGCCCTGAAGAACTTTTCTTTAGTTTAGACTTGTACTATTTTTTTAAACCACCCAGATAAGACATTAGTTTTAGCCTCCTCTCAGGTCACAGTGGTGCAAAAAAAATGCAGTTCTTAGCTGCCTAGGTCAGTCTGTTTCTTAAACCAGAGGCAAGCAGATGGGGAGGGAGAGAAGAAACAAGATGAGGAAGGCAAGAGTCCTGGTAGCTTTGTAGACACAAATATATCTTAGTCCATATTCCCTATTTGTTTCTCACTTCACAGCATGGGGCAGGCAGCCCCTGCACTGAAAGCATCCTCATGCCCCAGGCAGCTGTGGCAGCATCCATACGTGTCCTGCTGTGCACGAAAACTCTGCAGAAGGGTAGTGGTTGTACTAACTTTTGTAAACACAAGTACTACCCTGCTGCAGAGTTTATTAGTTTTGTGCATCCTAATAGGGGTGCACATGTAGATGCTGAGACGTTTATTGTGCAGTTAATTAGTCAACTTTGTGGAGTAAATGTCTCTCATAGATATGCCCACTGAGGAGTAGTGGAAAGAGCCTTTGGTTCATATGAGTAGTGACTCTCTGAAAATTGCTCATTAGTTTGGGACTAAAATTTTCAAAAGCTCCTGAATCCCACTTTATAAAATTGTCAGGTACATAAGGACTTAAGCCCAACAAACTTTCATTGGGCCTTCAGCTTTTAAGTTACACAGGGCTTTGGAAACTACTTCTGTTCATCACTTCTGCAAAGGTCAGGCCTAAGGCATGTTGAGCTAGCTTGGGGACCCACCCACATCCCATTGCAGTGAATTGAGAGGAATTAAGTAGACTGCGATGAGAGGGTCTAGCTGACTCTGTAAAATGCAGAGGGTTTTGTAAGGGGGACACAGCTTTGGGGAAGACCTGAAGATCTCAGTTTTGGAGAGGCCACTGAAATGATCTATAAAAGGATACCCCTCCTCTATTTCCCCCCGCCCCCTGTCTGTGTATTTGCAGGAGAGTCATGATAGTTGTGATTAGGGCTCTGATGGGGGGTGGGGGGAAGGGGAAGAAGAGCCATAAGGACCTTTTGGATATTCCTTTTGAAACCTGTCCAGTTGGGGTTTCAGTGGGTATGGCTCTCCCTCAGTCAGTGGTTAATTTTTGAGTCTCCCTTAGCATAGTAATACTTCACTGGTCATGCTGGGCTTAGTGTGCCCTTGCTAGCTTGCAGGTGAGCAGGAGATATAGTCCAGGAAACCCAGACAAGTTAACCCAGCCGGTCCCTGCCAGGGGTCCAGGTTGAGTTCCTCCCACTGAAAAGAAATTACTCTTTACTATAGTGGTGGAGAGGGTAAAAAGAAAAAGGCTCAGATGTGTATCCTCCTGGAATAGGGGTTGCTGGGGTAGGAGCAGATGGTACATGGCATACAGAAGATTTCCTGCTAGTCCCAGTTAAAACTGGGCCTCACATAGTACCTACTCCTAGGCCCAAAGCAGTCCAGATCTTCCAGCTCCAATCTAATCATGCCAATGTGGAGGAAGATGCTGCTGGAGAAGTGTGCAGAGGGGATGGGAAATGTTCTTCTGCTCTAGACTTTCTGGGGGAAGTATTACTGGGCTTGCGGGGGGTGGACCTTTTGCTTCTGACATCTAGTTCTATAGATTCATAGATTCATAGATGTTAGGGTTGGAAGGGACCTCAACAGATCATCGAGTCCGACCCCCTGCATAGGCAGGAAAGAGGGCTGGGTCTAGATGACTCCAGCTAGATGCATATCCAACCTCCTCTTGAAGACCCCCAAGGTAGGGGAGAGCACCACCTCCCTTGGGAGCCCGTTCCAGACCTTGGCCACTCTAACTGTGAAGAAGTTCTTCCTAATGTCTAATCTAAATCTGCTCTCTGCTAGCTTGTGGCCATTATTTCTTGTGACCCCCGGGGGCGCCTTGGTGAATAAAACCTCACCAATTCCTTTGTGCCCTGGTGCTGAACTTATAGGCAGCCACAAGGTCGCCTCTCAACCTTCTCTTGCGGAGGCTGAAGAGGTCCAGGTGCCCCATTCTCTCCTCATAGGGCTTGGCCTGCAAGCCCTTAACCATATGAGTGGCTCTTCTCTGGACCCTCTCCAGGTTATCCGCATCCCTCTTGAAGTGCGGTGCCCAGAATTGCACGCAGTATTCCAGCTGCGGTCTGACCAGCGCCCGATAGAGGGGAAGTATCACCTCTTTGGATCTATTCGTCATGCATCTGCTGATGCATGATAAAGTACCATTGGCTTTTCTGAT